GCCTTTTATTATCAGTATCTTTATAAATCCAATCTTTATTTGTCTTCGGGGTTTGGAAACATTACATGTAAACTTACAGTTATATTTTAGTACATACATACATAAAAAATACACAAATCATAAAAATTTGCTGATGAAGAAGAGTTGGACAATGTTGGCGGTTTGTCAGTTGTGATAATAACTCTACTTTGTGGAAGGTTCTGGATCATCTGGATTATCCCTGGGAATGGGGATGGAGTTTCTAGTCAGAAAATTACTAGGAGTTGTCTGTACGGTCCTTTTCTTTTTTTCTTCCTGTATTTTGTGGTAACATGTTACTGCTTCCCGAATCTGCCTATCGATTTTAGCAGAGTGATCAGTGTTTGGGTCCATGTTTTCTAGCAACTGAAGCCCCTGATTTAGTTTAGAGAAAAACTCAAGCTAAACCTTTCACTGTAATGTTTTTTGACAACTTCTCTCCTTCCTCTTCCTCCTTATTTATTTCTTCTTTGGCATTTCTTTCCTCTTCAAAATCCGTTAAGTCCTAATGTGTCAGTTCCCTTTCTTTGTGATCTGAGCTGTTCCACATTGGCACTATAAAGTTCTAAATTCAATGTTCTTGCCATATGGACAGTTTTTCCACTGACTGCATCCGTATTATCCTGATCAGATGCTTGGAGCATGTTCATATAACTCAGTAATTTTTTCTGTATCCCCTGCATGCATTTTCCTGTAGCTCCCTCCCAGGAAGATACAATGTTGCAGATACACTGACGGTCTTAACTGTGATTCATTGTAACTTGAATATGTAGTAAGTCAGGGACTACCTGTATTGGCTTTCCCAGAGGAGTTAGCTATATTTTCCCTCTATGTTTTTTTTGCCTCTGTCATGGATTGAATTGTGTCCCCCAAAAATGTCTGTCAACTTGTCTGGGCCATGATTCCCAGTATTGTATAATAGTGTACCATTTTGTAATCTGATGTGATTTCCTTATGTGTTGTCAATTCAATCACTATGATCTAATAAGATGGATTAGTGGCAGTTATACTGATGAGGTATACAAGATTGGATAGTGTCTTAAGCCAATCTCTGTTGAGATATAAAAGAGAGACGTGAGCAGAGATACATGGGAACCTTATACCACCAAAAAAGCAGTGCTGGGAGCAGAGCGTGTCCTTTGGACCTGAGGTTCCTGCACAGAGAAGCTCGCAGACCAAGGGAAGATTGACAACATGAACCTTCTTCCTACAGAGCTGACAGAGAAAGCGTTCCCTTGGCACTGATGCCCTGAATTTGGACTTGTAGCCTAGTGGACTGTGAGAGAATAAACTTCTCTTTGTTAAAGCCATCCACTTGTGGTATTTCTGTTATAGCAGCACTAGATGACTAAGACAGCCTCTTAAAATGGGGTTGGGAGGAAAAATTAAGCAAGGAAAATGAGGAAGATGATCATATTTCTGTTTCTTTTTTTTTAATTTAAATTGAAAGCCATTTGAGAATAAGGCTTGATCTTATATAATTTTTATGCTCCCTTCATACTCCCTCCAGCTAGCACATATTAGATGTTTTCTCTATCCTGCTAGAAGATTTACAAACATAATTTTATCTTTTTGAAGAAAGTTAAATATTTGTTTCACTGTACTCTAATAAGAATACAAAGTATCGTTCATCAATTATAGTTGGCTCTTAAAGAAGAAGGTGTCTGTGAACATCTCAGCATTTACTCAAGGAGAATTTTTACTGTTAGTTTTGGTAGATAAGAAAAGCATTTTGCAAGCATCTTTGCTTGAAATTTTCTTGATAGAATTTTGTACTTAAACAATTATGTACTGATGTAAAAGAAGTTTTAATTAATTAAGAGATATATCCTATTCTTGGATGGGAAGATAGTATTGTGATGAGGTAAGTTCTCTGTAAATTAATCTAAAAAATTGTGATTACAGTAAAAATACCAATAACATTTAAAAAATCTAAGCATACTTATTCTATAATTTTTAATGGAAAAATAAGCACATAAGAATAACTAGGAAAATTCTGAAAAAGGAGAGGAATGAGAAGCAGAGGTCTACCAGACATCAAATACTTTATAAAACTTCATTAGTTAAAATATTTTGGTATAGCATATAGACATACAGACCAAAGAGACTTGAGAATCCAGACATAAAGTAAAAAATGAATATTATATATGGTAAAGATGGCATTTCAAGTCAATGGGGAAAATCGTGTTGAGTTGTATACAAAGCAAAAAACGAAATAAAAACAAACCACACACACAAACCCAAAACTGAATCCTACTTTATTCCTTCTTCCAGAATCAATAATTGTGATTAGTTTGCCTGACTGCTTGAATGTGAAGATAATTCTTGCTAAGACTTTAAATAGTTAGAGAAACTTGGGGGAAAAAAAAAAAGGTCAACAGTTATAAATATTGAGACCTGTAATTTTTTTTTTTTTAGCTTTATATATTGCAAAATTGCATCTACAACATTTCAGTAGATTGGATAGGGCTTATGTGATTGTTGGAAAGGGAACACAGAAGGGATGAAATACAGATAAAGAGTGTTCTACATATGAAGGTTGGTGAAAACCCAGAGATTTAAGTAATATTATTTCTTTAGTAAAAGTGAGGAAGGTTTGATTATATTGATTGAGTTTTAGGTACTCTGCTATATTTTAACTTTTAGCCTTTTTAGCCTGAGTATAGTAAAACACTGAATATTAAGGGCTTAAAATATTTTATCGTATTCTAAGTATGATTGCTATATTGAGGTTCTAAGTATTTCCTACTGGAACACATTTATGATTTTATTGTATAAGCCACGAGATAATACTTAACAAAAGTTCATGTTAAGCTGTTTTTTCAAATAGCATCAGTTTCACTCAGAAAAGAACTAGAATGCTTCAGTAAATGTGAATTAAAGGCTTTTTAGTATATCTTAGAACTACGTGATTATATGTGTGAAATACTGCTTTTCTGTATACTATTTTTGTATTCAACTACAATAATTATCATGTCTCTTATTTTTATTGGTTGATTCTTGGAGAATTTACAAGTATGCAATTATATCATCTGAGGATGGCAATAATTTTACCACCTCTTTTCAGAGTTTTTGCCTCTGATTTTTTTCTCTTGGTTGTGTTGACTCAGTACCTTCAGGACAGTGTTAAATTACAGAGAAAATAGTGTACATCCGTATTTGTTCTTTGGGAATGGGTCTTATATTTTCCGCTGAGCATTATTCTGACTTCTGGGTTGAAACATATATTTTATCATGTTAAAGAATTTTCCAACTATTTATATTTTATTTCATTTTCTTTTCATCATCTGTGGAGGTTGTTTTTGTTGTTATGTGTCATTGAGTCGTTTCTGACTCATACAACCCTATAGGACAGAGTAGAACTGCTCCATAGGGTTTCCAAGGAGTGAGCGGCTGGTAGATTCGAACTGCTGACCTTTTGGTTAGCCCAGCTGTTAACCATTGCAGCATCAGCAAGACTCCGCTATGGAGGTAGTTATATGATTTTTCATTTTATGTCTCCTGATATTAAATATTGATCATTCTTGAATTCTGGAAAAATTATACTTTCAGTGTTTAAGTCCTTTTATAAAAACATCTGAAAGGTTTTTTATATTGTTCTACTTGATAATTTTGTGATTAGGATCATTTGAATATATTTCAGTGTTCTGGAACAGTTTAAATAGTACTGACATCTGTCTTTTACAGGTTTGTTAGACTTCCCTTTGAAACCGTTTGGGCTTGGTGCTGTTTATGTAGGGTAGCTCTTGACAACTTTTTAAGTTTAATGGTAGTTAATCTTTTTAGGTTTTCTGTCTCTTCCAGGGTTAGTTTTGTTTAAAATATGTATACACACACACACACACACACACACACACACACACACACACATACACATCTATAAAAATTACTCATTCTACAGTTTAAAAATTTATTTATCTAGTATAGTAATAGTAGTAGTTGTCGCTGCCTCTTGATTCTTTTATTTTGTATCCATGATGATTGCTCTCCTTATCACTTTTGTTTATTTCTCCATTTTTTTTGTTGTTTTTATTAGTTGTTTACAGACTTTTTTTCCCCTTAAAGAATGAGCTTTTAAAAAGCTGTTATTTTTTTAATTCTTTTTCTGCCAAGAATATACAATGAGTATATTTCACAGTGAAGAACTAATTTTCATAACTTATTATCTGAATTTATATCTAGATATAATGTTTCTTTTTTAAAATGATGAATAATGTTTGTATACTTATTTCTGCCATGTTTTATGCAAAAGAGGTATTTTGCTGTATTTGCATTAAATTTAAGAGATGACCTTGATAAGTTTGCGATTAGGATCATTGGAATTTCTTTTAATTATTTTAATATCATTTGACATCTTACTAATGCAAGGCCTAAAGAAATATTCTTATGAAGTCTTTGGAAGGGCGTATTTAGCTAAGTTTACTTAGCAAATATTTATTCGAAGGTAAAGTTTCTCCCCCTCCCCCAATAGCTTATTCCATTGAGTAGAGAAGACCCCTCAATGTTAAATAATAGGGAAGGACTAGTAACTTACATTTGTATAATGCTTTGGGTTTGCAAAATGTGCTTTTCACTTATGCATGGGAATAGACAAATTTTTGGAGTAGATTCTTACTTTGTAAGAAAGGATTCTATGATATTGTTCTTAACCTTTTAGGGGTTCATAATAGACCCTTTTGAGAATGATAAAAGCAATGAACTCTCCAGAGAAATACACTTATGCACACAAAGACAATTTTGCATGTAATTTTAGGGGAACTCTCAGAAGAGCCATGGACTTTAGGTTGAGAATTTCTCCTTTGAAAATACAGGTAGACTTCTGATGTAATCTTTGACAGAAAAGAGTGCTTTTTGATTTTCAAAATACAAAGTTAAACAGGGTACCTTAACTCTTATTGGAAATGTTTGTTTTCACCTTGCATGTCTTCTAATTCACTTGTCCTAACAATGGTTTTTGTTTCTGACTGTTGCTTCCTCTGTAGCATCTGGAGCATAAGAACAGTGCTTATTTTCTTCTTTTCCAAGAGAACAGAAAGAAATAGTAAGTTTAATTTCCATGTTTTAATTTTTTTATTTAAATTAAAAAAAACTTATCTTACAGTGAGTGTGTTGATTTATAATTAATGGCAGGTTGTGAAATGGAATATTGAAATGACAAAGCAATAAATATTGGAGAGTTTTTCACTGTAAAGCATAAGAAAGGTTATGAGTATGGTTCTGTTTTTCATTTGTTATTTCTGTCTTGCTCATTCAGAATATTTTATATAAAACAAAACAATTCATTTCTTTAAATCAAGAAAAATTGTATTTGTTTACACTGAAAGGTATAACTTATCATCATATAAATTAGTATTGATAGAAAAGTTATATTATTAAGGAGTAAAATACAGTTATACTTCTTTTGATTTGTTATATTAATTTCACCCCTCTTTAACCTCACAACCCCTAGGGCTTTGATTTTGTGGAAATATGCAAATTATTTATAAACTGTCCTTCTGTATTTGATCCATGTATGTATGTACAGATTGTGTTACAGTTAACAAGGGTTATATAAATGAACTTTATATATGACTTTTTTTCCTTTTCTTGTTTTAACTTTTTATTGTGGGTAATTTAAAACATATACAAAAGTAGACAGAATAGTAATTAATATACTTCTTACGCAACCTAAACAATTACCAACTCATGGTCAGTTTTTTTTCATTTCTACCCCTACCCACTTCTCCACCTTGTGTATTATTTTGAAGTATAGCCTAGATACATCTATAATAAACTCATTGCCATCGACCTGATTCCGACTCATAGCGACCCTATAGGACAGGATATCCAAGGCTGTAATCTTTCTCCCACAGAATGGCTGGTGGCTTTGAACTGCCGACCTTTCAGTTAGCAGCCCAGTGCTAACCACTGAGATACCAGGGCTCCTGTGTATCTGTAATAAACCAAACCAAACCTGTTGCTGTTGAGTCGATTCCGAGTCATAGAAACCCTACAGGACAGGGTAGAACTGCCCCATAGGGTTTCCAAGGAGTGGCTGGTGGATTAGAGTTACTGACCTTTTGGTAGCAGCCAAACACTTAACCACTGCGATACTTATGAGACAGTTGGAAATTTAATGTTTTAAATATTTAATATTTTATGACATTAATTCTTTTTAGGTATGATTATATATTTAAAACATTAAATTTCCAGTTGTCTCATAATTGTCATACTTTTTTTTTTTTTACAGAAGTTTTGTTTGACTCCTAATAAAGATCCAAAATAAAGTCCCTCCAAGTATGCAGCTTTTAAATTACCCTCCTTATTCATGACCTTTCTTCTCTTCTATAGTCTAGCCCAATGACCATTTCTTTACAGTCACCCTTGACTCTTTTGCCCCCTTTTCCCTTCCTACTTGTCTGGCAAACCCTACCCTATTTAAATACAATTATATGCTTAATCTATGCCTTCATCAAGGCAGCTAAACTTGCTAGAGGACAGTCATACAATATGCTAAATAGACTTGTTTTAAAACTAGAATTGCAGATACCAATTTTGCACTCAATGCTACTACACAGTCCTGTTATAGTTCCCTAGTAAATTCACATTTTTTTCTTTGAGGACATTGTTTGCTATTATATTCCTCCTTAAATCACTAACACCTGCCTCCCCACCAAAAACCAAACCAAACCAACCAACCAAACAAACAAATAAAAAAATCAGAAGCCACAAACAAAGAAACAAACAATACCCCACAAAAATCTACCTGGCTATTCCTCACTAATGGTCTCACTTTATAGGGAAAAAAGATGCAAACAGATGCGAGTTATTCATTACCAAATATGTCAAGTTAGCTCCGTCCTCAGTATGTTGTCATCCATCATAGTATTGCGGAACACTGGCCTTGATCCCATCTATAGCTGAAAAACCAAAAAACCAAACCGGTTGCCGATGATTCGATTTATGCTTTGGATTCCATGTACTCTGCCCATTTCAAGAACCTTGCTCCTGTAGTTTCCCTTCCTGCAATTTTCCTTTCTTCTGCATCATCTATATCTATTGGATTATTCCTATTGGCATGCAATTATGCCTCAGTACAACCATCTGAGGAGGAAAAGAAATCTCTCTTATCTCTACATTCTCTTTAAGTCTCTTAACCACCTCATTTCTATCTCCCCTTCAAAGTAAAATTCATAAAAAGTTGTCTATAGTTGGTATGTCTCCTTTTTCCCCCCACTGATTCGTTGTCAGCCTACTCTGTTTAGATTTTATTCTTACCTCTTTACTGCAATGGCTTATTTCGAGGTCGCTAGTGGTCTGTGTCTTGTCAAAGCCAGTAGTCAGTTCTCTTTCCTCCAACTTGATCTCTTCACAGCATTTGAAATAATTCAGTTATCTGCTCTTTTTCTTGAAAGATGTTTGTCTTAAGCATCTTTGGCGATACGTCACGGGCCACGGGCTATTTCTTTTTTAGTTTTTTTGTTCACTCCTCCTCTAGTAGAATTTTGTCCATGGCTGTCTTCTCCTTTGAATAATTTATTTAGGTCACTGCTGTCTAGTAGATCTTTCTGTAATGATGAAAATATTCTATACCCATGATGATGTCCAATATGGTATCTGCTAGCCATGTGTGGCTGTTGAGCACTTGAAATGTAGCTAGTGTGACTGAGGAACTGGATTTTAATTTTTAATTTTAATTACTTTAAAAAGCCCATGTGGCTAGTGGCTACTGTATTGAGTAGTGCATTTTTTGGTGATTTTTATCCACCCACACAGATTTAAATATCACGTATTTGTCGATGACTATCACATCTAAACCTCTAGCCCAGATTGTTCCCTTGAGCTCCAGATTTGTATACCCAGCTGTGTAATTGAAACTTTCACTTGGAGACCCAGTAGGCATCTCATACTTAACATGGCCAAAACAGAATTATTGCTTCTTCCCTTTTCTTCTGCTCCCTCTTATCTGTTCCTTCTTGTTTGTTCCCTAGCTCAGTAAATAGTTATACTATCAACTAGTTGTTGAAATAAATACTTTGGACATGTTATCAGGAGAGATCAGTCCCTGGAGAAGGACATTATGCTTGGTAAAGTAGAGGGTCAGCGAAAAAGAGGAAGACCCTCAATGAGGTGGATTGACACAGTGGATGCAACAATGGGCTCAAGCATAACAACAATTGTGAGGTTGATGCAGGACCGGGCAGTGTTTTGTTCTGTTGTACATGAGGTCGCTATGAATCGGAACCCACTCATTGGCACCTGACAACAGCAACAATTGTTGAAATAGAAACTGTGGGAGTCATTCTTTTTTTTTTTTTTTTAATTGTGCATTAGGTGAAAATATACAGAGCAAATTAGATTCCCATTTGATAGTTTGTACATAAAGTGTTTCATGGCCTTGGCTTCATTCCCCATAATGTGTCAGCGCTCTCCCCATTTCTGCCCTGTGTTCCCCATTTCCTTTCGTTCTGATTTTCTACCCCTTCCTGGCTTCTCATCTTTGCTTTTAGGCAAATATTGCCCTTCTCATCTCGTATAATTGATTGTTCTAAGGAGCATGTTCCTCTCAGGTTACTGTTTATTTTATGGATTTGTTCATTGTTTGGCTGGAAGGTGGTCTCTAGACATGGCTTCATTTCCAGGTCAGAAGGGTGTCTTAGGTCTCTGGAAGTCATTTGATTCTTCTCTAATATTCAGTCAATTTACCAGCAAGTCCTGTCATCTTTACCTTCTTGTCTCTTGATGAACTGACACATATTACTGATACTCTTCAGTGGTTGTTATTTACTCAAGGAGTCAGTGCTGGGCTTGAAATGAATGAAGAATTAGCGCGTATAAAAAGTCTGCATGGAACAACTGCAGCGAGAATATTTTCAAAGAAGTTGAGTAAACATGTAGTCAGTACAACCTGAAATGGAATCTGCTGAGATATATTACAACTAATGGTAAAGATATATGTGAAGCAGAAAAAGGGTTAGTTGGACAAATTTACAGAGCTCATGAAAATGTTAAGATGTTTAAATTCTATAGTTATTCATTGTGTTACTCAGTAGCAGGTACTTTCAGGAAATATTTGAATCTGTCATGTATTGTTGAACCGGTAGCGTCAATGGTGAGCTTCATTCATTCTCATGGACTTAACCATCATTAGCTCTATGAATTTTAACAGAAATAAAAGCTGAATATTTTGACTTGCCCTACCACACGGCAGTTTGATGGCATAGCAGTGGTCATGTTTTATTGTGATACTTTGAGCTCAGAGCCCAGCTTCAAGTTTTTCTGAATGAGGAGAACTACCTTCTACCACTGTGACTGAACACTGAATGGGGTTTTTTTTTTTCTGCCTTTTGCTACAGACTTGATAATGTTTCTTAAAAAATTTAACCTAAATTTGTAAGGCAAAACAATACTTATATGCGAAACTTATACTGTGGTAAAGTCATTTAGAAAACAACATTGTTTGAATCACAAGAGATGACAAAAAGTAATTTTAGGAAGTACTGTGAAAAGTTAAAAGAAGAATCAAGATCTCCATTTCCACACAGTATTTGAGCTCAAACTATAGCTGCAGCAGCTTTTTTTGCAAAGGAAATTTCTATATTTCAGAATCCATTTAACTGTACAATTGAGGAGCTTCTACTAATCTTCCATTCAAAGTGACTACATCTACTCCTCACTTATTGGCTATCTCATTATCTGACATTTCGCATTTATGACAGTAGTAATTTGCAATGTAATGACGTGCTCAAAGGCAAATATCAAGAGAAGAATATAATAGAATTCTATAAATGCCTCCCAAACAATGAATATGCTCAATTAAAATCATGTGCTCATGGATTGATATCAATCTTTGACAGTTCCTGTCTGTGTGAAAAGACATTTTCAGAGATCACATATGTAAAATCTCATCATAGATCAGTATTAACAGATTAACATTTGTAATCTATTCAGTAATAGGGAACGTAACTTAGAACCCCAATTAACCACAATGTTATCTTCCTCCCAGAAGAATTCTACTCCTTTCATTGGTAGACCTCTATTACAAAAAAATTGAACTCAATTATTATTATATTTGAATTTTGTAAATAAAAGATATGTGGAAATTTTTTTTCTCTTTTAGTTTATATGCACCTACATAATATCCTTGATCTTGCCTTCTGGTCTGTAAAGCCTAAAATGTTTACTGTTTCTGGCCCTTTAAAGAAGAAGTTTGCTGAGCCCTGGATTAAAGGACGGATCTTTGGCTTGGTCTTATGTAACTAAAGATGACTATTTTCTTTTAAGATGTCAGTAGATTTTTCTCTGTCCTTTGATAATACATTAATACTATTTAACATATTTTGAAAAAATTCTTTTGTAATAAAAACATTTTTTAATAAGTTTTGTATTTCTTTGGATTTTTACATAAATAATACACTTCGAATGGAGCATTCAGATGTTTGCTACCCCAGAAGTTCAATAAAAAGATAATAATTTTATTTATAAATTCAATTAAAAATCAAAATTTTAGAATAATTATTTAAATTCCATTTGATCAAAATGTTTAAATCAAATCGTAACTCTTTCTCTTTTCCAGCTAGAATAGTATTCCTATTTGCACTAGTTAAATATTTCAAGAGAAAAACTAGAAACCTAAAATAAGTTTGTAAAGCAGGCATTGACATTCATAAATTGTATCCCTTGAAAACATTCTTTGTGTCATCTTGCAAACCTAAATTAGCAGGCAACTCTTAGTAATGTTTAATTTTGAAAAGTTATTAGTATCCCATTCCTTTCCAAGTCTTTCCTCAAGCTATAATGCTACAGATTTTTAAAAAGTTTTCTTCGTTAGCGTTCGATATCTTGAAGTTTGACTAACTTTATAAAATGTATTACATATTTCTTTGCCTTATAAAAAAAGATAATTTTTATTACCAATGTATAAAAAGAGATTTGGTATTAATTTTGTGAATTAATGTGGATGGGTGTTGAAAGGAAGGAAAAATAATAGAAAGTAATGTTTTGGAAAACATTTTAAATATATGTGTATCTTTTCAAATTTCACAAAGGGTTTTGTTATGCAAAGTCCATTCGTTCCTAAATGACTTGTAGTATACGTGCAAAAACATGCAATTTATATGCATAAAGACTGAGATAATTTTTGTCTTCATGTATTAGTTAAATTTGGAGAAATTCTAAGATGAGAAAGTTTTCTTGCGGTGGCTGCTTCTTGTTAGGTGCCATCAAGTTGGTTGTGACTCATAGCTACTCTATTTACAACAGAATGAAACACTGCTCAGTCCTGCACCATTCTCACAGTCTTTGTTATACTTGAGCCCATTGCTGCAGCCACTGTGTCAGTCCATCTCATTGAGGGTCTTCCTCGTTTTTGCTGACCCTCTGCTTTACCAAGCATGATGTCCTTCTCCAAGGGCTGATCCGTCCTGATAACATGTCCAAAGTATATGAGACGTAGTCTTGCCATCCTTGCTTCTAAGGAGCATTCTGGTTGTACTTCTTCCAAGACAGATTTATTCGTTGTTTTGGCAGTCCATGGTATGTTCAATATTTTTCGCGCACACCACAATTCAAAGACATCAATTCTTTGGTCTTCCTTATTCATCATCCAGCTTTTGCATGTATATGAGGCGATTGAAAACACTGTGACGTGAATCAGGCGCACCTTAGTCTTCAAGGTGACATCTTTGCTTTTCAACATATTAAAGAGGTCTTTTGCAGCACATTTGCCCAATGCAATGTGTTATTTGATTTCTCGACTGCTGCTTCCGTGAGTGTTGATTGTGGATCCAAGTAAAATGAAATCCTTGATAACTTCAATCTTTTCTGCATTTATCATAATGTTGCTTATTGATCCAGTTGTGAGGATTTTTGTTTTCTTTATGTTGAGCTGTAGTCCATACTGAAAGCTGTGGTTTTTGATCTTCATCAGTAAGTGCTTCACGTCCTCTTCACTTTCAGCAAACAAGGTTATGTCATCTACATAACACAGGTTAATGAGTCTTCCTCCAATCCTGATGCCCCTTTCTTCTTCGTAGAGTCCAGCTTCTCAGATTATTTGCTCAGCATACAGATTGAATAGGCATGGTGAAAGGATACAACCCTGACGCACACCTTTCCTGACTTTAAACCACACGGTATCCCCTTGTCCTGTTCGAACGACTGCCCTTGATCTATGTACAAGTTCCTCACGAGCACAGTTAAGTGTTTTGGAATTCCCATTCTTTGCAATGTTATCCGTAATTTGTTATGATCCACACTGTCAAATGCCTTTGCCTAGTCAATAAAACACATGTAAACATCTTTCTGGTATTCTCTGCTTTCAGCCAGGATCCATCTGGCATCGGCAGTGATATCCCTGGTTCCACATCCTCTTCTGAGTCTGGGTTTAATTTCTGGCAGTTCCCTGTCTGTATACTGCTACAGCTGCTTTTAAATGATCTTCAGCAAGATTTTACTTGCATGTGATATTAATGATATTGTTCGATAATTTCTGCATTCAGTTAGATCACCTTTCTTGGGAATAGGCATAAATATGGATCTCTTCCAATTGGTTGGCCTGGTAACTGTCTTCCAAATTTCTTGGCATAGACGAGTGAGCACTTCCAGTGCTGCATCCATTTGTTGAAACATCTCAGTTGGTGTTCCCTCAATTCCTAGAGCCTTGTTTTTCGCCAGTGCCTTCAGTGCAGCTTGGACTTCTTCCTTCAGTACCGTTGGTTCCTGATCTTATGCTACCTCCTGAAACTGCTGTTTAGTGTATAGCATTTGGCATAGTTTTCTCCTATCTCTAAGTATCTTAATATCTGATTTATCTTTGATTTAAATCTTGTTTTCCAGATGAAGCATTGGATGATTTAAAATCTCAGAAGAAAAAAATAGTAAGTTAACATTTATTTAAAGTTAATTTATATAAAAGTAATCAGTTAAGAACTGAATAATGAATATTTATATGTTGTAAGTTAATGGCTCTCTGAAGAACAACTTTATTTTTAGATAGCATTTTAATGATGAAGGAAAATTATGAATATTTTTGCTAGCTAATAATGGTTGTCAGGAAAAAATAGTTTAGATGGACTTTTGAGATTCTGAGAAGCTGTGCTAGTTGGAAGCTGAGAAGTAAATAGATGAATCGTATTAGAGGATTAATGAGGCAGAGAGGGTAAAAAGGTGAGTTTCCAGATTGATTATCAGAGCAAAAAAAGGACCAAACATTTATGTATATCATTTCTCAGTTTTTCTTGACGCCATAAGGCCGGGAGGGAGGAATCAAGAAGACTGATTGTAAAAGACAAATTCAGCATGAAAAGGCTGAAGAAAAGGGACAAGAGAGGATTTTTTACTTCTTGTGTCTTCCACTTTCTGTCAGCAACTTTGAACACATGAATATCTATTATGGGGCCAGTTAAATACAGCCTTTGGATATGTTAGAGAGAGGGCCAGAAGTAAGAGAGGAAGGGCCCTAGATGTTAGAGGTTGATATATAATAGTCTTTAGACAGTGAATGAACTTGGTATTTGATTTGTGTTAATTGTGATTTTTTTAATGCGCTTATTTTTTTGAAGTGTGAAAAACGATAGTTCCTTGAAGTAATGTCATGTTATATAGAAGCTTATTTAATGAAATTTAATGAGGTGCCTAATATGTAACAAGTAACAATTATGTTTGAAACTAATAAAATTTACGAAGGTTAAGATTGTTAAAGATAGTTCTCTGAGTTGTTCTGTAAAAGACCTTGATCTTGAGGGTTTTAAGTTCCTGAAAAGTAAAGGAAGTTTAATTCTTGAAGGATTTCTTATCTTTTGGATGCTTATTCAGTGTTATGTGAGGTATTTATCAAAATCACATTGTCAATTTTGATGGTCCCAAATAGAAACTACAATATGCCTATTTTATCATAATTGTATTTTTGGCATTCTGCACATTATGGAACAGCCAGAAATTCAAAGCAAAGAGATACTGATGTTCTCAATAATACAGAAGTTGTAGGGGAGGGAAAAAAAGTTTTGATAAGTGACTGGTTTGGTTTGCTGATGAGAAAAAAAGAAGAGCTGGTAATGGTGATCAGAGCCAAGCCCTACTTGAACCAAAGTGAAGAAGTAGTGCTCAAAGTAGAAAAGACAGGAAGACAAAAGCAAAAATAAAAAAAAGATTTTAAGTGATGAAAAGCAGACCTAATGCTAGTGGCATCACATGACTGGAAAACAGAATCTTGAAAAACTTTCAGTAGAGTAACAGAGCTGTCTTGGAAAATTCTGTGAAAGGGCAGGCTAAGCTATTTACTTCTTTAATAGCCGTTGAAGGAATCACAACATAAAAGAGGCTCCATCTAAGGTGACAGTTGGAAAATTCAGTTCAGGGTTCAATATCTCTATATATTGAAATGGTTCATGAGGCATCAGTATTATGGAATAGTTCACTATAGTGTGTTTCTCTTGTAGTACGATTAAAGAAAAGTAAGTTGACTATAACTCACTTCATTAGTTAGGGAATACAATTTGTATTGACATGACTATTAGTTATAATATAATACTATTGCTACTGGCAACTAGTCTGTTATCTTTACTGCTCAAGTCCTTAACAGAGCTGCTTTGTTTGAGCAGGTGCTTTATACTTTGTTTAGAACAGTAAGTGTTCAGGATGAATTAGTAAGGAGTACAATGCTAGCTAATAATCGTGCCGATGTTGTTGTGTGCTGTCAAGTCAATTCCGACACATAGCGACCATATAGGACAGAGTAGAACTGCCGTATAGCATTTTCTAGGCTGTAATCTTTATTGGAACAGATCACCAGGTCTTTTCTCCCACGAGCTTCTGATGGGCTCCAGCTGCTGACCTTTGGGTTCGCAGCCGAGCATTCAACCATTGTGCCACCAGGGCTCCTTATTGTGCTGTTATTGAGAGAGAAAAGAAAGGTGCATTACTTTTGAGCAAAAGCTAAATGTAATCAAAACTGATTTTGTTCAGTGATGCTTAGGTATAAACTTTATAGCTTTAAAAATACTTTTATTCAAAACGATGAAAACAACCTAGGTGCCCATCAACAGATGAATGGATAAACAAACTATGGTACCTACACACAATGGACTACTATGCAATGAGAAAGAACAACAATGAATCTGTGAAGCATCTCATAACATGGATGAAACTGGAGGACATTATGCTGAGTGAAATAAGTCAATCACAAAAGGACAAATATTGTATGAGACCTCTGTTGTAAAAACCCATGAAAAAGTTCACACACAAAATGTAACAATCTTTGTTGGTTACCAGGGATGGGAGTGGTGGGGGTGAAATACTAAAGAGGCAATAGATAAGTGGTATCTTGAGTGAAGGGTGAGACAGTACACAATACAGGGGAAACTAGCACAACCTGTACAAGGAAAGGTCATGGAAACCCCATAGAGACATCCAAAGTCCCTGAGGGACTGAATTGCTGGGCGGAGGGCTGTGGGGACCATGGTCTCGGGGAACATCTAGTTCAATTGGCATGACACAGCTTATTAAGACAGTGCTCTACCTTCTACCTTGGTGAGTAGCATCTGGGGTCTTAAAAGCCTGTGAGCGGCCATCTAAGATACTCCACTGGTCTCATCCCTTCGGGAGCAAGGGAGAAATAAGAGAACAGGATACAAGGAAAAGATTAGTCCGAAGGACTAATTGTTCGCAGCTACCAAGGCCTCCACTGGACTGAGTCCAGTACAGCTAGATGGTGCCCGGCTGCCACCACTGACTGCTCTGACCAGGATCACAACAGAGGGTCCTGGACAGAGCTGGAGAAGGACGTAGAGCATAATTCTAACTCACAAAAAAAAGACCAGATTTACTGGCCTAAAGGACACTGGGGAAACGCTGAGAGTATGGCCCCCAGACACCCTCTTAGCTCAGTGGTGAAATTACCTCCGAGGTTCACTGTTCAGCCTGGGAGTGGACAGCCCCGTAAAACCAAATGAGACTAACGAGGTACAGGAGTCCAGTGACAAGGGCCAGAAGGCAGAAGGGGACAAGGAAGCTGGTGATAGGGAACCCAAGGTTGAGTAAGGATATTGTTGATGTGTTGTGAGGTTGTTAACCATTGTCATAGGGCAACGTGTAGTAATTGTTAAATGAGAAACTATTTTGTTCTGTAAGCCTTCATCTTAAGTGAGAATAACAGCACAATTGGAAGAGCGTAGTCAATGTCACTGAACTGTGTATGTAGAAATTTTTGAAATGGTGTATCTTTGGCTATGTGTATTTTCACCAAAAAAAAAAAAAAAAAAGGTTGAGAAGTTAGAGGGTTAATATGTTGTGGGGTTGTTAACCAATGTCATAAAACAACATGTGTACTACTGTTTCATGAGAAACTATTTGTTCTGTAAGCCTTCACCTGAAGTACAAAAAAATATAAAAAAAATAAAATAAAATACTTTTATTGTTGAAATGGCTGCAGGAAAAATAGTTTTGTTTTTGGTCTAAAATTACCCAACCCCTAATCTTTCCCTAAGGAGCCCTGGTGGTACAGTTGTTAAGCTCTTGGCTTCTACCCAAAAAGTTGGCTGTTCAAATCACCAGCCACTCTGCGGGAGAAAGGTGTGGCAGTCTGCTTCCGTAAAGTTGTTGTTAAGTGCCGTGGAGTTGATTCCAACCCATAGTGACCTGCATACAACAGAACAAAACATTGCCAGATCTTGTGCCAACCTCACAATCATTGCTATGTTTGAGCCCATTGTTGCAGCCAGTGTGTCAGTCCATCTTGTTGAGGATCTTCCTCTTTTCTGCTGACCCTTTACTTCACCAAATATGATGTCCTTCTCTGGATAACATGTCCAAAGTACGTGAGACAAAGTCTCACTGTCCTCGCTTATTAAGGAACATTCTGACTGTACTTGGAAGAAGTACACCCAGAATGCACTGTGAAGATTATAGCCTTGCAAACCTTACAGGGCAGTTCTACTATATCCTCTAGGGTCACTTTGAGTCGGAATCGACTTGATGGCAATGGATAACCCTTCCCTTTCATTAACAAAATTAACATGTTATACTTATTACTTGATATTTTATTAAGGGTGGTTTCTTAGGGCTGTCTCTCTTATACTGACTAATATAGTTTGTAATGATGAACATGAATTATCAATTGTTAAAAATCTAAATAATTTATAGTTTACTTTCTTTACTTAGAAAGGAAAATGATAATATCTTACAGGGTTTTAAATCTTAGGAGCTTAAAATAAATTTTTACTTCTTAACATAATGCCAGGAATTAATCTTTAGTCATCTAAAAAATTCCCAAGTCTGGATGTGTACATTTTGCCACTTATATATTGTATGGTCCTTTCAGGGAAAGTTTTTTTTGAGCAAGCATGCTTTAAAAAAGGTTCAAAATCAAAACCCATCAAAATAGATGAGTCAAAATGACTTATTTAAGTCAATCTTTAAGTATCGTAGTTTTTCCAGAATAGTGTTTGTATGTCGTAATTCCTTTCTGGCATTTCTTAGAAAATTTATCTTTTTCTGAATCCTGAGAAAGATCAGGTGAGAAACTGGGAAAATGAGAAAAAGTGTTATAATCTTCTGAGAATTAAAGCTCAACAATCAACTACAGATGTTACTGGTTCAAAGGAATCCGTTAATGCCAATTGAGAGCCAGAGCAAGAAACACTGACTTGCTGAGCTGCAGATTAATGTCAGCATTTCTAGGAACGGGATAGGACCATGTAGAAAATTGGTCACAATCTAATCAGTTAATTTTGCTTTTGTGGCCATTTCAAGTGTGTTTTTTTTTGTAGCCCTACCTCTTATTAATGAGTCAGTCCTACAAAGAAATACTAATAAGTTTATATGCATAATATGCTTAATACAAATTGTATGAAAAATATTCCAAGAAATAACAAGTTTTGGAAACAAGAAGTCCTTAAATTGGCAATTTCAGCATGTAATTCTGTGCAGGGCTGTTAACCTTAGTAGAAGATCCAAATGTTACATTTTTATATTACCCGATAACGTTTGCCTGCGTTTTCCAGTGTTGAATATTCACTATAGGCTACAGATCTTTATAAGTACTTTAACAGAAGAAATGCAAAGGGAAAAGACATGACTGTTACTGTGAAATACTCCTATATGAAATCAGAAAATGATGTAAAATCTGAATTAGTAAAAGCAATATGTATTTTAACAGCAAATTAAAATCGGGATAAAGCCAAAAAACCCGTTGCTGTCAAGTTGATTCCGACACATAGTGACCGTATAGGATGCAGTAGAAATGCCTATAGGGTTTCCAAGAAGCAGCTGGAGGATTTGAACTGCTGAGCTTTTGGTTAACAGCCAAGCTGTTAACTACTGTGATACCAGGGCTCCAAAATTGGGATAAGCAGACAATATTTTCATTGTTGCAAAAGGATGAGCTTATGTGATGCAACATGTACCATCATGCTCTGAAGATGCTTTTGGATATACTCTTAATAATTTGACCAAAGTCAATATAAAATGAAAGAAATTTCTCTATACCTGGAATGATTCTCACAAGACAAAAATCTAGAATATTGGATAGAGCAATTGATGCTTTGCGTGTTTAAATTTTTTTCTCAAGAGTGATAATTTAAATATTTGTAGAATTACCTTTCAATTTAAATGATTTTTGACATTTGCATCAGTGCTACCTTTTAATATTTTTATGATCAGATATCTATATCAGATAGAAATAATTTTTGTTTTTGAAATACAAAGCATTGTCACAGTATGTTGAATCATAATAAATAATAATCAGCCATGCATTTATTATTATATCTTTTTTACATTAAAAAAATCTGTGAAACTTTTAGTGTATTTATAATAAAAAATGATTTACTTTTTTGTATCACTCATTATGATTTACAATACATAAACTATTATGAAAAATAACAGAATAATGTATGACTTAGAGCATTCCTGAGAATTCTGATTTCTTGTTTGAGTCATGAGATTAATATGTCAGTTATACAGAAACGTGACTGTTTTCAGACCCATTGTGAATAACTGAGGTGCCATTGAAGATTATGTGTTACCGTGTTAAGCACCGTTCTGGACTCTTTTTCCTACATTATTTAAATTGCGCATCAGTGTTGTGAAGAAAGTATTAATATATATATTTTGCAAAAGAAGAAACTGAGGCAACAAACTTGTTCAGATTTTTTCTAGCTAATTAAGAATGAAGGTTGCCTTGAACCTAGGTCTTTATGACTTCAAAGTTTAAAGTTCCCATTTTTTCCACTGATCAGAATGTTTCTCCATTTAAAATAATTTTTTATAAACATATTGTGTGGATAAGCGTGTGAAAGCTTTTTGTTAAAAGTGAATGCAGAAGAAAGAATAGATACAAATCTATTTTGTGTTTTTCTTTTTATTTTATTTAAGATACTTTACAGCACACCACATGTGTATACATGCACATGTGCACACAAACATGCATACACACACATATAAACTCTGAATGACGTACCGGGAATTGCAGTCATTCAGCAAGGTAGCATTTTGATTTGAGTTTTGTGCCTTGATGTAAAATCACGGTTGTACCTAATCTTTTTTTTTTTTAAACTAGCTGTAGTCTTAGTCTAGAGCTGTGCTGTCCAAATCAGTTGCTATTAGCCACATGTGGCTATTTAAATTTACATTATTTAAGATGAAATAAAATGAAAAATTCAGTTTACTCCATTGCACAAGCCACATTGTAAGTGCTCATTTGTCACATATGGCTTGGTAGCTACTGTATTGCATATAGACCATTTCTGTCATTACAGAAAGTTCTGTTGCATAACACTGTTCTAAAACATAAAAATCTGATTTTTAGAGATCAGGAATTTAGTTCTTTGGGGTTGATATTCTATGTAGATTATGTTGATTTTGGGATATATTTTATCAAGTTTTCTCTACCCCCATTCCCAATCCCCCTCCCAACTCTAAAGTGATATCACAAACATTTCCTTTATATCCGAAAGTGAAACTTGCTTATTTTGAGAATTTATCATAATTTTGAAATAATTAGGAAAATATTTTAGTTTCACTAAACCAAGGTTAATGAATCATTCATCTAAGCCGTTAGCTTCTTAAATGTTGAATTGAGTGTCTAATGACAAATCTATCAATTGCTATTGTGGCAGTGTATTTGAAACTTGGTAAATGTGCTCTATATTGCTCTTAAAAATAAATATCATTTGGAATAAATATGACATTTAATGAATCTAAGTGGTTATCAGTGGTCACTGAGAAGGAAAAGTTCCTGTTCCAGTTTTTGCAAAAGCATTTTATTCGCGTTGCACATAAGCTATTTGTCATAACTATGACTGTCTTGTACTAAAGTTAAACTTTTTCTGATGTTGGACCATAACTACTAAGATGATACTTTAGTAGTGATTACTTTTTAAATTAAGTCCATGTAGTAAGCTATAAAGTGACTTGAGTGCATTGTAAATAAATGCTATAATAATGAAGTGTTTTAATTACATTCCCTAGTGTGAGCATAAAACTCAGTAAAATTTTTACTTAAATTCTTACTATGTTCAGTTTTTTCCTCTAAAGTTGAATCTAAGTAAAAAAAGGGGGACCTTTAGCTTTTAAAGTCATTTGAGCAAATTCCATGGCTCTTTTCCCAGTTAGTGAGTTTTCACTGCATTTGCAGCAGGCTAATTGCTTTTGCTAATAAATAATCTAAAATCAATGCTGACAGCAGTTAATTGGCACAGAGATTTTATTTTGTAAAGCTCTTGGCTAACGACCTTCTTTAAATTAATAGCATTAAATGCTATGAGGAAATAAATCTGAGGAATTGCCTGTCATTTGCTTGTCATGTCTAATAACTTCCAATAATGATAGCTGATAGATTTTTGCACATTCCATTATTGAAGTTGGTGCATGTAATTATTCTCCTCATTATATGTAAACAATTAGCAATATTTGGTATTTCCTTGCAGTAAAGCTGTTAAATACAAGTAACATATCAAGAGGTTAGAAGCCATTTTAAAATCTGGATTTTAATTATTTAAATGGAGGAAGTCTTTAATTCTGTCTGGGTATATTATGTTTTGTTTATCTTAAGCCTTGAACATTTTTTGAATGGGACTTATTAAAAAAAAGTACTGTGTGTGTTTTAAAATGACAGTTTATGGAAATTTTTGTTCATAGCTTGAAGAAGTCATGGAAAAAGAAACTTATAAGACAGCTAAATTAATTCTTGAAAGGTTTGATCCAGACTCAAAGAAAGCAAAGGTAAGGCTCTGGTATCACTACTGTTTTATTATATATAGCACATTGTAATAGGCCACTGTAATAACATGATTGTAATTGACAGGAGCATGAGCCGCCATCTGCTGGAGCAGCTGTAATTGCAAGACCTGGACAAGGTAAATAACTTTGTAGAAACTGCTGCTGCTGTTGGAAAGATCCGTATTTACCCAAGTGAGTTCAAAAGTGTGATGGAAGTGTTAGAAAACTATGTAGAATGCTTTTATGTTAATTTAAATTTGGTCATTTGGCATATGACTTGGAGTGGATGGCAATAATTGTGTTTCATTTTGATGCTATGGGAATATGTTGGTATGTAAGGATGCCAAATACCTAAGGTAAAATAGATGATTAGTTTTAATCTTTTGAAATTTAAATAATTTATTAACTGATTCCTCAATATTTTGTTTTTTTCTCTTCAAATAAGAATCTCTTGGAATATCTTATTATGAAAATCCTTATATTTTTATAATTTATTATTAATTCAATGAAGATTTTCATCAAATTGGAAGTTTCTTCTAAAATAACACTTATATTTGAATAGCGAATAAAGTGGTTTAGAAAAAAAGAAGAAAACTGAATTACTGCTATATAATAATGTTAACTCTTTTTTTATGAGGTTGCATTGCCAGATTATTAGTGAGACTGTCCCTATTATATCATTAAATGTTACATAAATTTTAAAAAGTCATTATTTTAAGTGGTTATATAAAGTGTTCCCAAGACTGGCATATGAAAAAATATTCTTGAATTTGCCTTGGTTTCCCTCTTTGTTTCTTCTTTAGAATCTAATAATATAGTTTGTTATAATGCCGAATACACTTTTAAAAAAATTAACTTCCATTTTGCAGAACATCAGAATTATAGTTTGGATGTATAAAGTTAGGATGACATTTAAACTTTGCAAAGTAAATGCTTTTATAAATACCCACAAAGACCATGGACACTAAATAAGCCATAATAGTTTTAGGTTTTCTAATTGGCAGGGCTATGTGGAAAAAATCCTCACCTTCCTGTTCCACCTTTCCCCCTGAATCTTCCATAAATAGGATTTTGGTTTATAGAGAGATTAGACTGCTCTTTTCATAAAGTAAAAGCTCACATGGCCTAGTCAAAATAAATTAGATACATATACTTACAATGAAATTCCTACTTTCATAATTAGTTTAAATTTTTCTACAATTTATACTTTTTTCTAGCAATTATAAAATAAGTCTTGAGGCCTGTAAACCAGGTTTCTGTAATTTGTACAGCATTTTGTGTAATTGGTACTAAGTTTTCAAAATTACTTTTTAAATCACTTTAGTGTATGTATTTTTAAAAATACTTCCCAATTAAGTGTTTAAAATGTGTTTTTAAGATGTCTAACTGCCTTAATGGCAATCTAGATAAAACATCACATACAGCTTAATACATGCTAAAAACCTTAGAATCAAGCAGGTAGGTGAGAAGAGAAAACTATTTTCCTTTTCTGGGACAGGGAAATCTGTAATGATGACAATTTAGCTTTACTAAGTACTTGGTCTCTGTGGTACACCAAACAATGAAGTATCTTAGCTAATTTTGTGACTTTAAATTCTTTACTTACCTCCTATTTTTGTTTTAACTTTTTTCTTTGAAGCCAAGAGAATTAGGAAAGAGGCATTTGTTATGGATTGAATTGTGTCCCTCCAAAATGTATGTCAACTTGACTAGGCCATGATTCTTAGTATTGTGTGGTGGCCCTCCATTTTGTGATCTAATGTAATTATCCTGTGTGTTGTATATCCTAACCTCTATGATGGTAATGAGGCAGGACACAATCTACAGGATTAGCTTGTATCTTGAGTCAATCTCTTTTGAGATATAAAAGAGAGAAGCAAGCAGAGGAGGAGAGGAACCTCCTACCACCAAGAAAGCAGATCCAGGAGCAGAGTGCATCCTTTGGACCCCGGGTCCCTGATCCGAGAAGCTCCTAGACCAGGGGAAGATTGATGACAAGGACCTTCACCCAGAACCGACAGAAGATCTTCCCCTGGAATTGGTGCCCTGAATTTGGATTTCTAGCCTCCTAGACTGTGAGGGAATAAATTTGTTTACTAAAACCATCCACTTGTGGTATTTCTGTTACAGCAGCACGAGATAACTAAGACAGCATTTTATTGGAAATTTTTGTTTTGAGTGGAATAGGTTAGTTTTATAAGAATTTTTTTGGCATCTTCCCATCTACCTTTCATAACTTTTATCTACAAGTGTCTCCAGAAAAGCATTTTTTGAAAGTAGTTCATTTGTAGAAGTGTTCTAGGATTGTTGTTGTTAGGTGCTGTCGAGTTGGTTCTGACTCATAGTGACCCTACATTTAACAGAATGAAACACTGCACATTCCCATGCCATCTTCACAATTGTTGTTATGCTTGAGCCTATTGTTGCAGCCACTGTGTCAATCCATCTCCTTGAGGGTCTTCCTCTTTTTTGCTGACCCTCTGCTTTCTAAGCATGATGTCCTTCTCCAGGGACTGGTTCCTCCTGATAACATGTCCAAAGTATGTGAGATGAAGTTTTCCCATCCTCACTTCTAAGGAGCATTCTGGCTGTACTTCTTCCAAGACAGATTTGTTTGTTCTTCTGGCAGTCCATGGTATAGTCAATATTCTTTGTCAGCACCATAATTCAAAGGCATCATTTCTTCTTTGGTCTTCCTTATTCATTGTCCAGCTTTTGCATGCATATGAGGCGATTGAAAACACCATGGCTTGGGTCAGGCACACCTTAGTCTTCAAGGTGACATCTTTGCTTTTCAACACATTAAAAAGGTCTTTTGCAGCAGATTTGTCCAGTGCTATGTGTTTCTTGAATATTCTTGATTTCTTGACTGCTACTTCCATGGGTCTTTATTGTGGATCCAAATTCTAGGATGAGCAAAACCAAAATAATCTGCTTGTAGATGATACTGTTATCACTTCCATAGCTTTGTTGTTCCCAATATTCTGCCAATGGGAAGTTATTTTGCCATTGAGCTTTCACATTGGTCCTACTTTTTCCTCCACTTTGATTCATACTCTTGCATAAATACTGTGATTTTCTTTTTATCTCATTGCTTATCCTCAAACACTCTCTTACAGGCTGATTAAGTCCGTGACTGATGACTGAGAAACAGAGAAATGTGGAAGAAATTTAGAAACCAAGTAGTGGTAGATAGGAGAGCAATGAATGGTAGTAGGAGGAATGATGGGAGTTTCAAAGAAATGCTTATGAGACTATTCTTTGTTCCTTTTTGTTTGTAGTAACCATCTAAGTTATTTAAATACCCATGTGTTCTGAAATTTATCTTTATCTTTACCACCTAACTAGTGTCTTTACCACCAGCTAACTCTCTATAAGTGACGCAGAGTCATAGATTCTTGAATATTTGGTAGTTAGCCATTTATCTGTAAAATTAATTAAGTTTATATAGTCTGAGTAATTTTAAGGCCCTGAAAAATTTATCAGTTATGATTCTGAAAATATGGGCAACCTGTTGATATGGAGTACATGTGATTTTTGCAGAAAACTGTTGCTATTAGTTTTTTTTTATCTGTTCTTTTCTGTCTTATGAAAAAATAACAGACCTATGATCTCCTTTACTGACATTGCTATTTTTAAGTATTTATTAATATTCAGGCAATGTAAGTTATTTCAAGAATTTAAAGTTATTTTTCTTTAGAAACTTTTGAAAACCAAATGAATTTTTTCCTTCTGATGCCATGTCTAATTATAGAAAAACATTCCTGTCTCTCTGCTTTGGATTCCTGTGGTACTGCTTTTAGATATTCTTTTAGGGGGAATTAACATTTAGCTAAGAAGTGCTGGTGGTGCAATAGTTAAGCACTAGACTGCTAACTGGTTCTGTAACCAAGTGGTTCTGTAGGAGAAAGACCGAGCAATCTACCCTCGTAAAGATTATAGCCTAGAAAACCCTATGGGGCCGTTCTCCTCTGTCACATGAGACTGAGAAGAGTTGAAATCAACTTGATGTTACTTAACAACAACATTTAGCTATCATATAAATGAATTGTTCATTTAAAAAATATGGCTTGGATATCTGTTATATGCAGATACCACAGGGAATTAAGAACTGAGTATAATGTGATTTGACATTAAGAAGCTTATAACCTATTTTTTCTTTAAAAAAAAAAAATCTTTTCTGGGGTATGCTATTCTAGTATTCCTACCTTTTCCAGATGTGTAGTAATTGATTGCTGTTGGGAATTTTTTCGTTATTTAAAAAAAAATTCTAAATTATATTCCAACTTTATTCTACTTTTTGAGAATTATATTTTAATTTTGTTTAATTTAATCCTGTTGAATCTCTTAGATTCCTGTCATTTTTACAGGTGACTTATTCATTAATTTTATTTCTGTTTACGTTCTGTGTTTCTCTTGTGAGTTCGAAGTCAAGTATTTCTTTGTTGAACCACTGTTCTTTCCTTTTCTTTTCTTTTTGAATTCAGGTTGTTTCTGAACATAAACAATAGCAAGGAAAAAAAAACTTACTAACGGATATATTTATGTACATATGTGACCCTTGCATAGATCTGCTTTCAAAATTGAACCTAATTGTAGAATCTTTATTTTACTATGACTCATGTGATTCATGTATAGTAGACATTTTTGTTTCTTTTAGTTTTCATTGCTTAGTTGTTAGTAATGTGTATTATGCTGGGATTGATTATACATTTTGAGGATATTATTCTTGATTTGCTAAGGTTTACCACTAACAGGAGTATTGCATCATGCTTACTGGGCAGTTAACCCATCTAACCTGACCCTCTCCCCCCGTTTTAATAGTCTTTATTTTTATTTTTTATTATTATTGTACTTTAGATGAAGATTTATAGAACAAAATAGCTTCTCTTTAAACAGTTAGTACAAATATTGTTTTGTGACATTGGTTACCACCCGTACAATATGTCAGTACTCTCCCTTCTCAACCTTGGGTTCCCTATTACCAGCTTTCCTGTCCCCTCCTGCCTTCTAGTCCCTGCCCCTGGGCTGATGTGCCTCTTGAGTCTCATTAATAGTCTTTATTTTTAGAACAGCTTTAGATTTACAGAAAAATTATGAAGGTAGTACAGAGAGTTCTCATATACTCCCATTTACA